GGCTATAGAGTGAGTCTCTTTCTGTAAAACAGACAAACCCAGTCTCAAGATAGGAAATACAGGCATGGGTTGTAATGAAAATGAAACATTCAGGAACACATGCCCCCGGACACTCTCCCCTCTCCCTTTCCCCTCACTTGGCTTCACCAAGATGGCTGCCATGCCCTGCAGGAAGGATAAACTCAACAGCCAAAGAGGCACACCCTACAGAACCCACACTGGCTTTGGAGCGAAGGACTTCCGAAAGTACCTCAGGGCTGAGGTAGACCGTCAGGCTCCACCCCGGCCTCGGTTTAAAGACCAGAGCGGAAACGGAAGCACTCCCTCACACTGTTTAGGTGTGAAATGAAAGGTCACACCCAGAACAAACAGAGGTCAACTGGGAGCAAGGGGGTCAGACAGCAAACAGACTGCAGAGAAATCCATGAGATGGATGGCCCTTTTTGTCCAGCAAATGAATCCCATGGGGAAACTGGAGACAAATGTGGAACCCACACAGATTAAAAGAGACTTAAGGTGTGGCGACCATTTGCATCCGATGGACCACATCGGAATAACCCAACTGTTTCTATTTGCTCATGGTGGTGCACACTTGTAACCCCAGCATTAGAGAGGCAGAGGCAGGCAGATCTATCTCTGTAATGAGATCTAGTAAGACAACACCTCAAAAATATAAAAATGCAATTCGGAGCCATTTGAATATCAGTTGGGTATTTGACAATAAGGAACTTTTTTTTTTTTTTTTTGAGACAGAGTTTCTCTGTGTAGCCCTGGCTGTCCTGGAACTCACTCTGTAAACCAGGCTAGCCTCGAACTCAGAAATCTGCCTGCCTCTGCCTCCCAAGTGCTGGGATTAAAGGCAGTAAGGAGCCCTTTACTGTAGGTTTTAGCTATGACATCAGAGTGCTTGCATTTTAGAGCTATACAGAAATGTCTGTGAATAAGACCTTTGTGATGGTTTGGTTTTCAAGACAATCCGGGAGTGGAGTTGGTCAAGCAAGTCTAATTGTGGAAGGAAGAGAGCATGAAAATCTTTTATTCCCCTCAATGTCTGAAATTTTCCATAATCAAGAAAAACTCGTGTTCGACTCCTCAGGGAATACCCTGAAACCATGACACAGAGTCAAGTGATACTGCCAGGGACAGCTTAGAGTGCTCCTGGATCTAAGATAACCAGCAAAGAGCTGGGGGAGGGGTGAAAGGATGGACAGCCAGGAAGTACAGTGAGAGCATTAGAGGCAAACAAATAAAACATATAAAAGGAGAGAAGGGCCCAAAATCCAGGCACACGCACTCTCACATACACTCACACAACACACACACTCACTCACATACACACACAACACTCACACAACACACACACTCACTCACACTCACATACACACACACACCACTCTCACACATACTCACACAATACACATTCACAGACACACTCACACATTCACTCACACATACTCACACAATACACATTCACACACACTCACACATTCACTCACACTCACATACACACACACCACTCTCTCACACACTCACACAATACACATTCACAGACACACTCACACATTCACAGACACACTCACACATTCACTCACACTCACACCATGCTCACACACACTCACACAATACACATTCACAGACACACTCACACATTCGCTCACACACACTCACACAATACACATTCACAGACACACTCACACATTCACTCACACACACTCACATGCCACACACACTGACACTCTCACTCAAACACACATGCACACACAAATACACACACTCACAAGACACATTCAGACAAGCACCACTCACACACAATCACACCCCCACACACACAACACACACACTCACACTCAGAAACACACACACACACACACACCGAGAGATACATTGATACACAATAATTTAAGAAAATATTCCCAAATGGAAGGCCATGGGTTTCAAAATGATGATGATGACAGGGTGTGGTGGCGAATGTCTTTAATCCCAGCACTCGGGAGGCAGAAGCAAACCACTCTCTGTGAGTTTGAGGCCAGCCTAGTCTCCACAGTGAGTCAGGACAGCCCAGGCTATGTAGTCCCTGATCCCAAAATAAAACCAGTAAAACAAAACAAAATGAAAATGATACCTCAAGGGCCTGGTAGGATTGAATGCGCACTTCAAGACACTACTGTGAACCCGCAGGACAGTGGGGACAAAGACACAGTACATTCCCAGTAAAAATAAAACCCGAACCAAACCATGCAGAAAAGATCCATGGTGAGAAGAACACGGGTCCTCACCACAGGAAGATCACCTCAAATCCTTCAAGATTCTGAAGGCAAACTGGTGCTAATTCATAGTGCCATGGCCACACAAACTGCTAATCAAACACACAGGAAGAGCAGAAGCATCCTTCAGACAGGACTGTCTCAGGAACAACCAGAAAGAGCAAATCCAGAAAGACCAGGAGTTTCCCAGAAATAATGACCCTCCCAAGCCAGGAGTCTCTCCTCGGCTCCACTAACTGTCAAACAGGGAACTGGCAACAGTATCTTCCCCTAGACTCCATAGAGACCCTACACAGAGCAAGAGGTACAGGAGCTGGGAAGTCAGGGAGTTGATGCTTAACACTGTGTCCACACATAACTTGATATGTTGCAGTCGACTTTTAAAAAGAGAAGCCACAGAGGCAGTGAGTGAGACAATCCACTGAGTAAAGGTGTTTGCTTCACAAAACCTGGTGAGTCAGATCCTCCGACCACGTGACGGCAAACAACTTCACAAGGGAGCTGTGACCTCCACATTCACACACAATAATAGTAATTATTATTTTAATAAAATATATTTATATTATTTATGTATTTGATTTATAATACAAGTTATATTTATACTGTTGTATTTTAATTTAAAAAAAAAAAGAAAGAAAGGCATTAATCCCAGCACTCAGGAGGCAGAGGCAGGTGGATCTTTGAGTTCAAGGGCAGCCTGGTACAGAACCAGTTCCAGGACAGCCAGGGCTACATTAAAAAAAAAAAAAAAATCCTATCTCAAAAAATCAAAAGAGAGAAAGGGGGAGAAAGAAAGGGAAATTGATTAAATACACATGTCTGAATAAAGAGATGGCTAGCATTGGGACAGTGTTGTAAAAAGTCACAGGGTTTTAGGGATTAGCAAGTCTCTGAGACATTCCTAAAGAAGTTTCCTTGTCCAGAAAAGAAAACCCAGTCTCAAAGGGACCATGTCAGCTGCCTGAGATAGCACCGATGTTTCAAAGAGGCAATGGAAGCTAACACAGAGAGGCCTCATTCCACATACAAAGAAAATCAAAAGTGTAACTACCTCAGCATGTCTATAATATCTTCAGAGGTTCAGAGTTTCGTGCAGATAAAACAAAAACAAACAAAAAAACCCCAGAAAAATATATTGTCCAATATACCATTTTACTCTTAAACCTGGTTCACACTCTGTATTACATATATACACGAATCATGCATGTGTGTTTGCGTGCGTGCGTGTGTGTGTGTGTGTGTGTGTGTGTGTGTGTATTGATTGGTCAGTTTTGGTCACTGCCTTCAATAAAACAAAGGTCCCACTGAAAGGACCAGGGATGCATGGAGCAGGCCAATGAGGTAGGCGGAACCTCCCAGACACCTGAGTATGAAGAGCCAGGACTTGTGAAGATTTTCCATAAAGTCCATTTTAACCAAGTATCAACTGAAAATATTTGTCATGCCCCGCCTAACTGTCTGAGATGAATTTATGCAAACAGAAAGTTAGCGGTTTCCACTGACTCTGAGGAAAGGTGCAGCTAACTGCTCGTCTCCAAAACAAACAGTTCCTTGGTACATCTTGGATAGTTACAATGCAGTGGCAATTACTTTTGCACACAGTACTCAAATACCAGAGTGATAAGAAGCTGGGTAAAATGTCTTTCATATTTTTGACCTCGTGGTTGAGACTTGGAGTCCGAAAATAACAAATACAAAAACGCTAAAGCTAATTTTGAATGCTTCGGTCCTGACAAACTCACGCTCGTTTCAGCATCTAGATTAATAAGCAAGAATTTCATCCTTGTAGGCACTAAGCCTGTTACTAAGAGCCACTCAAGCAAACCTGAAAGTATGTATTGGTTACTTAACCAAATTAATAAATGAACAAATAAATAAAAACTGTTTAGAAACATCTTTTTTCCCCTGTGTGGTAAAGGAAGTGGATGAAAGGAGGGTATGGCCATCTCTAGGTGTGGCTGGGGAGGTCTTTATTGTAGATATGAGAGAGGGTTCCGACTGAACTCCACCATGAGAGAGGGGTAGAGAAGAAAGAGAGATTAGGGCAGAGGGAGGGAAGGAGAGAGAGGAGGGAAAGATGAGAGGGGGAGGGAGGGAGAGAGAGAGGGAAAAAGGGAGGAAGGTAGAGAGGAGGGAGAGAGGGAGAAAGACAGGGAGGGAGAGATGAGAGTGAGAAATGGAGGCAGGCGGGAGAGAGATGAGAGGGGAGAGAAAGAGGGAGGAAAGGAGAGGGAGGGAGGGAAGGAGAGAGGGAGAGATAGAGGGAAGGAAAGATGAGAGAGATGTCAGAGAGAGGGAGGGAAGGAGGGAAAGATGAGAGATGACAGAGACATGTCAGAGGGAGACGGGAGGGAAAGAGAGAGGGAAGAAAGGAGAGAGAGGGAGAGAGGGAGGGAAAGATGAGAGAGAGAGAGATGTCAGAGAGAGGGAGGGAGAGAGGAAGAGAGGGAGAGGGAGAGAGAGAGCCTAGAAAAAGCACCCAAGGAGGAGAGGTGAGAGGACAGTATGGCAGGTAGGTTGGTGGAGGAATGAGAAGTTGGGGGAAGGGAAGGGAAGTCCTGGGCTGGAGGTTTAGGTAAGGGCAGAGAGGAGTGCTGGCAGGAGCCACAGGAAAGCCAAACAAATAACCTAATAGACACCAGTTAGCCATCTGTCCCCCAGGTTTCTTTGGGAACTGACAGGAAGCATACCAAAACCCAGATGTAAAACAGAACCTTTGGTCCTGTGAATACTCACAGAAAGAGTAGGATCCCAGTGTTGGCCAAGGCAAAGGCGAGGCCCAAGATTCCACTGCCCATGATGGCGTTGCTCAGGTTAAAGACGGACATTCCCAGAGAAGTGGTTCCTGGAATCTGGACAGTAGAGACAGACACTGTCACTAAGCACACGGTGTCAAAACCTTTCTTCAAGCCCCAGCCTTTCCAGTGCTACCAGAAGCACTGAGAAACAAAACTGGACAACTTTTTCTGCAGTCTAATCTTTTTTAATGGGTTGTATGAGAAAATGTAGCCAATGGACAGAGTAACATTTTCAGGGCTGAATATGAAAGCCCTGGCCCCATGGTGTACACTAGTTAACACATAGGCTGTTGTCGTGTTCTCTCTCTCTCTCTCTCTCTCTCTCTCTCTCTCTCTCTCTCCACACACACACACACACACACACACACACACACACACACACACACACACACACACACACACACTTAATTTATTTTACATCCTGACAGCAGTTTCCCCTCCCTCTTTTCCTCCCAGTCCCTCCCTCCCACCCACTTCTCCATTTCTCTTCAGAAAAGGGCCTGCCTCAATGGCTATCAACCAGCATGGCATATGAAGTTACAGTCAGACTAGGCACCTCAGCGTGGACAGACAAGGGAGAGCTGCCTTTCTCTCCCCCCATGTCCCTTAGGACATGGCCTCCCATAGGTATATGGCAGGTGGGAGAGCTGGCCCCGGCCCTCACTGGATACAACACTCAGGAAATCAGTCTCTGCACCTCACCCGGGCAGCGGGGCAGAGCTGGCCCTGACTGCAGGTGTTGCTGGTGAGCCAGTCCTGAGTGTGTGAGAACGTAAGAGCTGGTGGGCCAGGCAGGACAGGGCAGATGAGTTTACCCCAGTGCGCTGGTTACAGGAGAGCTGGCTGGGCAGCTTAGACACCCCTCAGGCTCAGATCCAGCACTCTGAGGTTTTGTGGCTGGGTTGGTGTCCCAATCCCTCCACTGAACGTCTTGCCTGGTTACAGGAGATGGCGGGTTGATGCTCAGAATCCCCCCATTGCTAGGAGTCTTAGCTAGGGTCACCCTCTTAGATTCCTGAGAGTTTCCTTTACACTAGGAATGCCCTCCCAATGAATTCTCAGTGCTCTCTCCCTCCACCCTCCCCACACCTGATCCCTCCTGTTCCCAACCTTCCCCCTCTACCCCCACTAAGTCCCCTCCCCCATTCACAACGCTGTATCTAGTCTGTTTCCCCATTCACGGGGTGATTCACCTATCCTGCCCTTGAGCCCTCCTTGTTACTTAGCTTCTTTGTGTCTGTTCAGTGTAGCATGGGTATCCTGTACTTTATGGCTAATATCCATTTATAAGTGAGTACATACCCTGTTTGTCATTCTGGGTTACCTCAGTCAGGATGCTCTTTTCTAGTTCCATCCAATTGCCTGCAAATTTCATAATGTCATTATTTTTAATAGCCAAGCAGTATTGCATTGTGTAAATGAACCACATTTTCTTTATCCATTCTTCAGGTGAGGGACATCTAGAATGTTTCCAGTTTCTGGCTATTATGAATAAAGCTGCTATGAACATGGTGAAGCCTGTGTCCTTACGTTAGGATGAAGCATTTTCTAGGTTTATGCCCACGAGTGTTACAGCTGGGTCTTGAGGTAGATGGATTCGCAATTTTCTGAGAAATTTCTTTGATTTCCAAAGTGGTCGTAGGAGTTTGCACTCCCACCAACAATGGAAGTTGTTTCCCTTGCTCCACATCCTCACCAGCCTGACTGTCACTTGAGTTTTTGATCTAAGCCATTCTAACCCATGCAAGATGGAATCTCAGAGTCGTTTTGATTTGCACTTCCCTTATGGCTAAGGATGATGAACATTTCTTTAAGTGCTTCTCAGCCATTACACATTTCTCTGTTGAGAATTCTCAACAATTTACATCTGTACCCTCATTTTTAAAATGGATTATTCGGTTTGTTGATGTCTAGGTTCTTGAGTTCTTTGTATATTTTGGGTATCAGGCCTCTGTCAGATGTGGGGTGGGTAAAGAGCTTTTCCCATTCTCTGGGTTGCTGTTCTGTCCTGTTGACAGTGTCCTTTGCTTTCCAGAAGCTTTTCAGTTTTATGAGGTCCTATTTATTAATTGTTGATCTTAGTGGCTGCGATTGGTGTTCTGTTCAGAAAACTGTCTTCTGTGCCAATGCATGCTAGACAATTCCCCACTTTCTTTTCTATCAGGTTCATTGTATCAGGCTATATGTTAAGGTCTTTGATACACTTGGACTTAAGTTTTTTCAGGGTGATAGATATGGATCCATTTGTCTCTTCTACACCCAGACATCCAGTAAGACCAGCACTATTTTTGAAGATGTTTTTCCTTTTCCCATTGGATATTTCTGGCTTCTTTATCAAGACCTAGACATCTGTAGGTGTGGGTTTATTAACTCGATTCCATTGATCAACTGTCTGTTTTTATGCTGGTACCACATGGTTTTTATTATTATTGATCTGTAGTACATACAGCTTGAAATCAGGGATGGTGATACTTCCAGAAGTTCTTTTTTTTTTGTACAGGATTCTTTTAGCTATCCTGGTTCTTTTTTTTTTTTTCCATAAGAAGTTGAGTGTTATTCTTTTAAGGTCTGTAGAAAATTGTGCTGGAATTTTGATGGGACTTGCATTGAATCTGTAGACTGCTTTTGGTAAGACGGCCATTGTCACTATGTTAACTCTACTGATCCATGAGCATGGGAGATCTTTCCAATATCTGATATCTTCTTTAATATCTTTCTTAAGAGATCTGAAGTTCTTGTGATACTGGTCTTTCACTAGTTTGGTTAGAGTCACACCAAGATATTTTATGATATTTGTGGTTGTTGTGAAGGGTGTTGTTTCCCTGATTTCTTTTGTATACAGGAGGGCTGCAGCAGGTTTTTTTTTGGTTTTTTGTTTCTTGTATCCAGCCACTTCGCTGAAGATGTTTATAAGCTGTGGGAGTTCCCTGGCAGAATTTGTAGGGTCACTTATGTATACTATTATATCACTACTTTGACATCTCTCTTTCCAATCTGCGTCCCCTTTATCTCCTTCAGTTGTCTTATTGCTCTGGCTGGAACTTCAAGTACTGTATCAGATAGATATGGAGTGGACAGCCTTGTCTTATTCCCAATTTTAGTGGCATTGTTTAATCTTCTCTCCATTTAATTTGATCTTGGATATTGGCTTGCTGTATATTATTTATTATGCTTAGGTTTGTCCTTTTTATCCCCTTGATCTCACCAAGACTCTAATCATGAAGGAGCATTGAGTTTTGTCAAAGGGTTTTTCAGCAGCTAATGTGATGACCATGTGGGTTTTTACTTTCAGTTTGTTTATGTGGTAGATCCCCATTGATGGATTTCCCTATGTCCAACCATCCCTCATCTCCAGGATGAGATCTACTTGATCACAGTGGACAGTCTTTTTGATGTGTTCTTAGATTTGTTTTTGAGTATTTTATTGAGTATTTTTGCATCAATGTTCAGAAAAGAAATTTGTCTGTAATTCTTTCTCTGTTGAGTCTGTGTGGTTTAGGTATCAGGGTGACTGTGGCCTCATAAAATGAGTTTGGTAGTGTTCCTTCTATTCCTATTTTGAGGAATAATTTGAGGAGTATTGGTATACTTTCCTTCAAAAGTCTGGTAGAATTCTGTTCTATAACCATCTGGTCGTGGGCTTTTTGGTTATTTTTGTTGTTAGTTAGGAGACTTTTAAGGACTATTTTCATTTCCTTATGGATTATAGGTCTATTTAAAGTTTTTATCTCATCTTGATTTAACTTTGGTAAGTGGCATCTATTAGAAAAGACTTGTCAAATTCTTTTAGATTTTCCAATTTTGTGGAATACAGATCTAATGATTCTTTAGATTTCCTCAGTGTCTGTTATGTCTCCTTTTTCATTTCTGATTTTTTTCTCTACATTTTAGCTAGTTTGGCTAAGAGTTTGTCTATCTTGTTGATTTTTGTTGATTTTCTCAAAGAACCAACTTTTTGTTTCATTGATTCTTTTTTTTTTTAAGATTTATTTATTATAAATATGAGTACACTGTTGCTGTCTTCAGACACACCAGAATAGGATATCGGATCCCATTACAGATGGTTGTGAGCCACCATGTGGTTGCTGGGAATTGAACTCAGGACCTCTGGAAGAGCAGTCAGTGCTCTTAACCACTGAGCCATCTCTCCAACCCTTCATTTATTCTTTATATTCTTCTTTTTCCATTTTATTGATTTCAGCCTGGAGTTTGATTATTTCCTGCTGTCCACTCCTCTTGGGTGTGTTTGCTTCTTCTTGTTTGAGAGCATTCAGGTGTGCTGTTAAGTCATTAGTGTGAGATCTCACTCCTTTCTTTATGAAGGCATTTAATGCTATGACCTTTCCTGTTAGCACTGCTTTCATTGTCTCCCATAAGTTCAGGTATGCTGTGCCTTCATTTTTATTGAATTATAGGAAACCTTTAGTTTCTTTCTTTCCTCCTTGACCCAGTGGTCATTCCATAGAGTTGTTCAGTTTCCATGAGTTCATAGGTTTGTGTTGTTTCTGTTGTTGTTTTAAGTCCAGCTTTAATCCATGGTGGTCTAATAAAATACAGGGGAGTATTTGAATCTTTCTGTATCTGTTGAGCCTTGCTTTGTGACTGAGTATATGGTCAATTTTCGAGAAGGTTTCATGAAGGGCTGAGAAGGTATATTCTTTTGTGTTTGGGTAACATGTTCTGTAGGTGTCTGTCAGGTCCATTTTAGTCATGACGTTTGCTAGTTCTATTATTTCTCTAGTTTAGTTTAGTTTCTGTCTAGAAGACCTGTCCATTGGTGAGAATAGGATGTTGAAGCCTCCTACTAGTAATGTGTGGAGTTCGATGTGTGATTGATGCTTTAGTATTACTTCTTTAACGAATGTGGGTGCCCCTGCATTTGGAGCAAAATGTTCGGAATTGAGACATCATCTTGGTCAATTTTTCCTTTGAAGAGTATGAATCCTTCCCCATCTCTTTTGATTAATTTTGGTTCAAAGTCTATTGTGTTAGATATTAGAAGGGCTACACCAGCTTGCTTCTTGGACAACCTTCTCCTGCCCTTTTACTCTGAGCTAATGTCTATCTTTGATGTAGAGGTGGGTTTCTTCTGTGCAGCAGAATGATGTGCCCCGTTTTCCCATCCATTCTGTTAGTATGAGTCTTTTTATTGTACAGTTGAGTCCACTGATGTTGAGAGACATTAATGACAAATATTTAATTCCTATTATTTTGATATTGATGGTGGTGGTGGTTTTGTGTGTGTGTGCGCGTGCTTCCCTTCTTTTGGTTTTGCTGGTATGTAATTATTTCCTGTGCTTTTTTGGGTGTAGTTAACCTCTTTGGGTTGGAGTTTTCCTTCTAGCATTTTCTGTGGTCTTTTAGTGTCTGCAAGACATATATATGTCTAGGCCCTTCTGGCTTTTAGAGTCCCTTGTGAAGTCGGCTGTAATTCTAATAGGTCTGCAATTATTACGTGGCAAGGGTACATTTTTTTTTGTCCAGTATGTTCTGTAAGCTTATTGTATGTTTATAGACATCTCTTTCTTTAGGTTAGGGAGATTTACTTCTATGATTTTGTTGAAAATATTTTCTGGACCTTTGAGCTGCAAATCTTCTATTCCTATTATTCTTAGGTTTGGTCTTTTATAGTACTCCAGGTTTCCTATATGTTTCATGTCAGGAACATTTTAGAGTTAACATGTTCTTTGACTGGTAAATTTATTTCTTCTATCATATCTTCAATGCCTGAGATTTTCTCTTCCATCTCTGATACACTGTTGGTAATGCTTGTACCTGTAGTTCTTGATCACTTACCTAGATTTTCCATGTCCAGAATTCCCTTAGTTTGTGTTTTCTTTATTGCTTCCATTTCAATTTTTAGGTCTTTGATAGTTTTCCCCCCCACCCCCTTCACACACACCCCCACCTTAGCGTTTTAGAAGTCATTTATTGATTTTCTCCAATGTTTTGTCTTTTCCTTGATTTAAGTTTTTTTTTTTAATTTCATCTTTAAGAATCTCTATTGTTTACATAAAGTTGGTTTTGAGGTTGTTTTCTTGTGCTTCAGCTGTATCAGAATATTTCTTACAGGTCTTACAGGTCATAGAACAGCATGGTTCCATACTGCCCTGGCTGTGGTTGATTGTGTCCTTACATTGGCTTTTAGGAATCTGCGTTTGGGATGATTACAGGCCTAGGTGCTGATTGCTGAGTTGGATGGGTGTTTTGTTCCTTGGTTCTGTTTCCTCTTTGGTCCTGTGGCCTTTGTGGTGTGGATTTCTGCCCAGGTGGGGGCTTGGCTTCTAGCAACTTGCTTGGCCTCTGCTGCAGCAAGGGGTCTCTAATTTTAACTGATGAGATCTGTGCCTAAGAGGTGAGGGAGGGCTGGAAGAGGCCACTACAATGGGGCTTGGGGAACAGAGTCCAGGGAGTGGGGTAGTTCAGCTGGCAGGAGCTCCCTCACCTGTCCTGACTCCACGGATATTTTTATAGTACACTACTCACACAGAAATGCTGTCCCCAGTCACATGGAGTGGTTATCAGAGTCAGTGCTCACGCTGTCCCCAGTCAGGAGGCTCTTAGCTCTCTAAGTCGGCTTGCTCACACGGCTCTCAGAGTCGGCTCCCACAGGCTGCCCCAGTCACATGGTTCTCAGAGCAGGCCCGCACAAGCTGCCCCCAGTCACGGGCTCTCAGAGTCCTCATACACATGCTGTCCCCAGTCACGTGGCTCACAGACCCTCCAAGCACTCGCTGTCCCCGGTCACGTGGTTCTCAGAGCCGCAAGCACGTGCTGCCCCCAGTCACGTGGCTTCGAGTCGCCAAGCACACTTACATACACAAGGCACTTACATATTCGTCGCATTTCCTTTTCTCCAGATGGCTGTTTGTGAGACTCCTCCTACTCTCCCGATCAGAGATGAACTTGCTGAAAAGACACACAGGACACGGTTAACCTTACGTTAATGTCTGTGAGTTCAGCAGCAGCCTTTCCAAAACACAGACTACAGAAAACTAAAAAGTGTCTTATCAACCATCTCTCCCCGGTGTGTGCGTGTGTGTGTGTGTGTGTGTGTGTGTGTGTGTGTGTGTAGCACACTTGCATACACATTCTCTACATTTCTTTTATCAAATAAGCTCCAAGCATTCCGAGGCAGGCTCTCCGACTCATTTCTTTTTCTGTTTCTCAGCCTACCATCCACAAAGGGATTGTTGCTTATCTCGAATGAGAGAGACTGCTGTAAGGTATAAAAGAGCTATACATTTTGAATCATTTTCAAAGTAAAGTAAAACATCACACACAGTATAAGTTAGCTTTTATGCGGATTTTCCACTAAGTAGAAAATTAGATAAAGCCAAGACTACTAGGTTCCTGGTGCTGGAAAGAACTGGAGGCCAGGTTTCTCCTGAGCTCAGATCCTTCCACACAGGGTCAGTAAATGCAGCCACTGTACCCCAATCCCTTGCAAAGATAGCAACTGCTCCACCACCAAACATCCAGCTAGCCGCAGCTCTGTGGAGCACAGAGGAAGAGATGCAGGTGGCTCGGAAAGACCTCTAGGCTATCAGGGTCCAGACTGGGAAGTTATGGTAGAGTAACAGCCCATAGATAGAGTTAAAGCCAGGGACTTAAAACTCAATTTGAAGTCAGACTCTGACTAGGTCCAAGGGCTTAGGTATACGGCCTTAGTATTCTCATCTGTAAAATGGGAGGAACATTATCACACTGTCTCACAGTTGTAGGAGGATAGAACATGAGCAAATGCAACACCCAACTCAGTGCATGAGCAACCGAGGTCGGCCCTCTCCCAGGGCAGGGGCATAAGCTAGGATTGGGTGAGAATCAAACAGAAGAAACTCCAGTATGCAACAGAGAGCTACAGAGAAGAACATAAAATATTCTCAAGACTAACACAACGTAGCCTGGGTCCATTTAGAATTTAGAACTGTACAATACAAACTTGAAATCTGTAAAAATTCTCCATTAAAAGGAAGCTTCTGGGCCAGGCGGTGGTGGCGCATGCCTTTAGTACCAGTACTCAGGGAGGCAGAGGCAGGCAGATCTCTGCGTTTGAGGACATCCTGGTCTACAGAGTGAGTTCCAGGATAGCCAGGGCTACACAAAGACACAGACACAGACAGACAGACAGACAGACAGACACACCCCTTTCTGAAACAAACAACCTCAAAATAAAACAAAAGCTTCTGTTAAAGAAAAATCTATTCCCAGACAAACTGAAGCTCTCCCTCCATCTTCACTTGCTTTCCAGGGATTGAACTAGGGTCACCAGATGTACACAGTAAATGCCTTTCCCCACCGAGCCATCTCGTTGGCCCTCTTGTGTATACTCTTAAAAACATTTCAAGAATGATGTTTGACCCTTGTACTGGCTAGTTTTATATCAGCTTGGCACACAGTAAAATCATCTAAGAAGAGGGAACCTCAATTAAGAAATAAATACCTCCGTGAGAACTGGGCTGTACGCAAGCCTGTAGGGCATTTTCTTAATCAGTGACTGGTGTGGGAGGGCCCAGCCCATTGTGGGTGGTGCCATCTTTGGGCTTGAGATCCTGGGTTGTATAATAAAAAAAAAAAAAAAAAAAAAAAAAAAAAAAAAAAAAAACCCGCAGCCTGAGCAAGCTATGGGGAGCAAGTCAGTAAGCAGCACCCCTCCATAGCCTCTGCATCAGCTCCTGCCTCCAGGTTCCTGCTTTCTGACTTCCTTGATGAACAGTGATGGGAAAGTGTGAGCCAAATAAACCCTTCCCTCCCCATCCTGCTTTTTGGTCATAGTGTTTTGTTGCAGCAATAGAGACCATATCTAACACAGCCCTTCTTGAGAAATTCAAAAGAAAAAACAAATTTAGCCGGGCGGTCGTGGCGCACGCCTTTAATCCCAGCACTTGGGAGGCAGAGGCAGGTGGATTTCTGAGTTCGAGGCTAGCCTGGTCTACAGAGTGAGTTCCAGGACAGCCAGGGCTATACAGAGAAACCCTGTCTCGAAAAACCAAAAAAAAAAGAAAAGAAAAAAAAGAGAAATTCAATTGTCTGGTTATCTTCAGAATAAACCACAGTAAATTTCTCATCAGTAATTTCAAAGCCACTTGAATATAATGTTAAAAAAAAAAACAAACCACTTTAAACTCTATTTGGTACTTTATACACTTTTTTCTGAATGATGCTATGAAGTCAAAATAAAGTTTCTTTTAAACAAACTGTATCAGTAGTGTTGCCTTTATTTAATTGCCCCTTTTCAGTGCTAATTCAAGAAATCTGCCATTACCGCTCTAACTTTGAATCATTCTATTAGAATAAGCCAAAGGCTAGTACTCTCTATGAACATATGACAACTTTATCTGTGCCTGGGGGAAGAAAACACCGGTCCCCTGAGACTCAAGCTAATACTGGTATAGGAAAGGACCCTGCCAGCTAAGCAAACACTGGTATAGGAACATAGAAATTTCTAAAATGAAGAAGAGAGGAAGAATCCAGAAGTCGAAAGCAGTGTTGTGTAGAGTTAGACAGAACAAACTCAGAAGCAGAAGCAAGAGAGTTACAACTGCCTTTTCTCATCAGGACAACAGGGTCTTCCAGGTAGCTGTCCTAACGCTTGATGGGGCTCTTGTCCCCCGTATTTTAAGTCTTTCCTCAGAATGAAGGCTTAGAGATCAGGATGAGGTGCAGCAGGACAATGCAGCCCACAGGCATGTGGGTGCTCGGCCTGTCCAAATAAAGATTCCTGTTTAAATGTTTCTACTCGGTAGACTCAGCCAGGCTAATTGTAGGAACAAGCTCAGGTCTGAGGAATCCCGGTCTAGCAAGCCTCCAGTTTGCCTTTCGTACAGAGAATGCTTGTTTGCCAAAGAGAATTTCCATTATGTTTTAAGCAAAGAAATAGCCCAAGCATTTTTTGTGCTCAAATAAATCAAGGAATCAATAAATCTCTCTGTTAGGGCAGACCTGGATTCCACGCCTGGCAGAACTCCCCAGATCTGGTGGAAGAGGATTGCTGGACAGAAAAGAGAGAGACATGAGAGGGCCTCAGAGGAAGGGCACGCAATGGGCTCAAACATCTGTCAAGGGCTCAAGTACTGAGGCCTTGGCAGAACAAGAAAATTGATACAAACTTACAAACCATGACCATTATAATACATGAAGACCCTGATTCCATCTTTCCTGCCTTACTTACTGAGGTATGACAGTAGACTGCTCAAATATCTCTGTTGGTGTTGTACTTTTCTAATGGTGTGATAAAACACCATGACCAAGGCAACTTATTAAAGAAAGCTTTTAACTTGGAGGCTCAGAGGCCTAGAGTCCATGACCACTGTGGTGGGGAGCATGGCAGCAGGCAGGCAGCATGGTGCTGGAGCAGTAGCTGAGAGCTCATATCCTGGTCCACAGACAAGAGACAAAGAGAGAACTGATTTGGAATGATGTGGGTTTTTGAATCTCAAAGCCCACCCCCAGTGACACACCTCCTCTAATAAGGCCACGCCTCCCAATCCTTACCAGACAGTTCCATCAAGCATTCAAACATATGAGCCTATGGGAGCCATTCTCATTTGAACCACCACAGTTGGCTTCTCCATTGGGCATTTCAAATGTTCAGCTTGGTTCTGCCTCAGTGTTCCAATCAGAGCACCCCCGCACCCCACCCCCACACACCTTGGCTCAAGAGGATCCTCCCAAGTATGGCTGTGCTTGTGGTCAAGACAAGTAAAAGCCAAGAACAAGGCAGTGGCTGGTATCTGCTCTGCCAACTGTCCTCTTCCTGAAGTCCCCTCTGGAGGATTCAGACTCTTCAAAGTATCACAAGTCTCCCGACCTTCCAGTGTGATCTTGAGTTTTCTGACCTGTTTACCACACTACCTGTGGCATACACGGTGTGCTAACTCATCTAGAGCACCGGGTGATGTTCAGTGTTGATTAGCAACCAAGGCGTGTATCTTCCCACACAGCAGCTCAGAGGCTCCTCTGCTAAAGAGATGTCTTCTAGGAAGTAGTCATTAGGAACTATCTTAGGCTGAAGGGGAATCTAGCTATGTATTCAACTTCACTTATATTTATTTATTTTTGTATTTACATGTAAGATGCAAGTATTTAATTCCATTTCTTTATTAGCTATGAAAGACTTTATTTACTGTGTAAGATAGAAGTATTTCATTCCATCCATTTATTCATTAGCTATGAAAGACTTCATTCATTCACTCATCCATTGCGTGTGTGTATACACACCAGCATGTGAAGGTCAAAAGACTACTTTTGGGAGTTGGTTTCTCTTTTTCTACCATGTAGGTCTCGGGATTAGAGCCCAGGTTATCAGGCTTAGAGTTGTGGACTAGAACAGTGGTTTTGAATTTGTGAGTCTGGGGGTGGGGTGGGTACGGACCAAACAACCCCTTCACAGTGGTCACATATCAGATACCCTGCATATCAGTTATTTACCTGCATATCAGTTATTTACGCTACGATTCATAGCAAGAGCAAAATTACAGCTATGAAGTAGCAATGAAAATAACTATGGTTGGGGTCGCCCCAGCATGAGTAACTGTCTTCAAGGGACACGGCATTAGGAAGGTTTAGAACCACTGCTCTTGAATCGAGTTTTTAAAGAAAACCCCTTTATTTTGTATTTTCTTCTCTCTAGTTTTCAAATCTGTACCTGGTATATTCATGTAAACTTAGAGAGAACCAACTTTTCTTTTTTCTAATGGAAAATTCCATTCGAAACAACTGGGTCAGGCAGCTTCCACTGCAAGTTCTAGCTCACCGTTTTCTTTTTTAAAGACAACTGGCTGTTTAAAAATCACCGACCTCTGGCACCGAAACTGACATGAAACTTATTTTTATTGACTTAGAAAGTGCCGTGGGAGACGGCATCTGTGACAAGTCATCTTAGGACGACAAACTTATTATTAAAAAGA